CACTGTGCACTTACTCCTCATGTAGGATCTCTGTCCTTAATGTGCTGTACATTGAGATTTAATGCTATAACGAGTACTCAAACAATATATTTCACTTTGTGTTTCTATGGGGGTACAAACTGTTGAAATCTTTACTTAATGCATACTAAACTGATCTTCTGTAAAAAAAAAAAAAAAAGAAATTATCAATTCCCAACTTGACTCTCACTGGGATTAAACATGACAATAGGTCTGAACTGATTTCATCATCATTTAAAAAAAATCATCTATTATTTTTCACTTTATGTTTCTGTGTGGGAGCAAACTGTTGAAATCCTTACTTAATGTATACTAAGCTGATCTTCTGTATATTAAGATAATTGAAAATGAATCTTGATGTGAATGGAAGGGGAGAGGGAGTGGGAAAGGGGAGGGTTGTGGGTGGGAGGGACGGTATGGCGGGGGAAGCCATTGTAATCCATAAGTCGTACTTTGGAAATTCATATTCATTAAATAAAAGTTTAAAAAAATGTGCATTATAAAAAATTTGTGCACAGATTTCATTTTTTTGTACCAAAATGAATTTACCTTTTAATTCCATTTTTCTATGAACTTTGAAGTATCCTCATGTGTGGAAGCTAAGAAGTCCATCCAAACATAGAACAGTGGTTACTGGAGGCTGGTAAGCGGGGGATGGAGGGGCCGGCACCATGGCTCACTTGGTTAATCCTCCACCTGCGGTGCCAGCATTCCATGTGGGCACCGGGTTCTAGTCCCAGTTGCTCCTCTTCCAGTCCAGCTCTCTGCTGTGGCCCGGGGGAGCAGTGGAGGCACCAGCCGTTGCAGCCATTTGGGGAGTGAACCAATGGAAGGAAGCCCTTTCTCTCTGTCTCCCTCTCACTGTCTAACTCTGCCTGTCATGGCTTCAGATCGGATCAACTCCAGGCGGGGAAGGGAGAATTTGGAAACAGGCCTAGTTAGAGAGAGGAAAATGTTCTATTGTCCCCAGCACAGTGGGGTGACAGTAATTCATGGTAACATCTAACAGTGTGAGGAACCAGCAGATAGGAGCCCAAAGGCTCCAAACATAAGGAAGCGGAAATGCTAACTGCCTTGATTTTATCAGTACACATTTGATACATATATTGATATATCACAGTGTTCCCCATGCGCAATCAAAATAAATAAATAAGTAGACTGAATTTAGAGTTTCATCAGGGAGACAGAACACTTTCTAGGCTAGATATCGAAAGGTAAAGAAATATTTTCTGCGTGTGATTCCTTCTCCTTACAAGAAACCCACTGAGAACCTGGAAGCCAGCCTAAGGCAAGGGCAGCTGAACCTCACGGGACAGTGAGATATCCACACCGGCCTCCAAGGCGAGGTAGACAGGGGAACGGTACCTCGCGCAAGGGAGCGTGGGACTCTAGGAATGGTAAAAAGCCTCTGAACTTTTCTGGCAATGTGATAGCTTTTTAATACCAAGAAAAGTGAAGATTCAAGTTGTCTTGGGCTTTCGAGATAACTGTTTTTAGCATCAAGCCACAATAACAAGACACAGAACTGGAGAGAGTGGAAGAAAGACCTGTACAGGAGCTTTCAAGAAAGTGGAAAGGGGCCGGCACTGTGGTGTAGTAGGTAGGGCCACCGCCTGCAGTGCCCCCATCCCATATGGGCACTGGTTTGAGTCCCGGCTGCTCCACTTCCGATCCAGCTCCCTGCTATGGCCTGGGTCCTTGGGCCCCTGCACCCGCGTGGGAGACCCAGAAGAAGCTCCTGGCTCCTGGCTTTGGACTGGCTCAGCTCTGGCCATTGCAGCCATTTGGGGAGTGAACCAGTGGATGGAAGACCTCTGTCTCTCTCTGCCTCTGCGTCTCTGTAGCTTTGCCTTTCAAATAAATAAATAAATAAATAAATCTTAAAAAAAAAAAAAAAAAAAAAAAAACACAAGAAAGCGGAAAGAAAGTTACCAGCTAAACGGATCCTGTGAACTAGGGAAGTTTACAGTTCAGAAGGTTGGGTGAGAAATTTGAAAACAGATTCTGGATTAACAATCAGTCCTCTTGGGGTTGCATCATGACACAATGGGTGGAGTCACCGCCTGTGATGCCAGCATCCGTTATGAGCCCAGGTTCCCATCCCAGATGCTCCACTTCCAATCCAGCTCCCAGCTAACGGCTAAGGCGCCGAGAGACCCAGATGGAATTCCTGGCTCCTGGCTTCTGCCTTGCCTACTCCAGCCCCAGCCATCATGGCCATTTGGGGAGTAAACCAGCGGATGCAAGATATCTCTCCCCCCAACACACACCATAGCTCTGATTTTTAAATAAATAAATTTTTAAGAAAAATCAAAGCTCTTGCAAGTTTTTAGTAAAAGCAGATCAGTATTTAAAAAAAAAAACCTTTTTGCTTTAAACATAGAAAATTTGATTCTGTAATTAAATCCATGTACCAACGCTCACTCTTTTAAGAAGTCTATAATGGCTTTTAAATTATAACTCCCTCGATCGCATTCAGATTTCTTACAGCTTTGTCCTTTACAAACATCATGGGGCTTGCTCAGTAGGCTCTGTGACACGCTTCAATCTTTAGTTTTTTCCTGTTTCTTTTCTCACTTTTGGGAAAATTTCAGTCCTCCCACCTTAGAACAAAAATTTATTTTATCATAAAAATTTTCCCCATGCAAAAAAAAAGAATTCTGGGGCTGGTGCTATGGCGCAGTGGGTTAATGCCCTGGCCTGAAGCACCGGCATCCATACGGGCGCCACTTCGAGTCCCGGCTGCTCCTCTTCCAGTCCAGCTCTCTGCTGTGGCCTGGGAAAGCAGTGGAGGATGGCCCAAGTGCTTGGGCCCTGCACCCATGTGGGAGACCCGAGGAAGCTCCTGGCTCCTGGCTTCGGATCGGCGCAGCTCTGGCCATTGTGGCCAACTGGGGGTGAACCAGTGGATGGAAGACTTTCTCTCTCTCTCTCTCTCTGCCTCTCCTCTCTCTAACTCTGACTTTCAAATAAATAAATTTTCTTTTTTTTAAAAAAAAGAATGCTTTCTCTTTTTAACTTCCCTCACAAAAATGACATCCTCATAACTCCCTTCACATCTCTCTCCCCTACCTTCTGCTTTGTCTCTATTTCCTTCCTTAACTTTACATTGGGAGGTGCTGACGTTGTGCGTGGGTTGAAGCCTCAGCCTGCAGCACCAGCAATCCCATGTGGGTGCCACTTCCGATCCACCTTCCTGCTAATGTGCCTGGGAAAGCAACAGAGGACGGCCCAAGTCCTTGGGTCCCTGCACTCACTGAGCCCCTGCACCCATGTGGGAGACCTGGAAGAAGCTCCTGGCTCCTAACTTGGGATTGGCTCAGCTCTGGCCATTGCAGCCATTTGGGGAATGAAGCATGGATGAAAGACCTCTCTCTGTCTCTACCTCTCTCTGTAACTATTTCAAATAAATAAAATAAATCTTAAAAAAATTTTACATTTGGAACTATTCTTTTTTAAAAATCTCTGAATTTAGACAAAATTACTCTTTTTTTTTTTTTTTTTTGACAGGCAGAGTGGACAGTGAGAGAGAGAGACAGAGAGAGAGAGGTCTTCCTTTGCCATTGGTTCACCATCCAATGGCCACCGCAGCCAGCGCACCACGCTGATCCGAAGGCAGGAGCAAGGTGCTTCTCCTGGTCTCCCATGGGGTGCAGGGCCCAAGCACCTGGGCCATCCTCCACTGCACTCCCGGGCCACAGCAGAGAGCTGGCCTGGAAGAGGGACAACCGGGACAGAATCCGGAGCCCCGACTGGGACTAGAACCCGGGATGCCGGTGCCGCAGGTGGAGGATTAGCCTAGTGAGCCGCAGCACCGGCCCACAGCACTCTTTTTCTCAAGGAAAAAAAAAAAAACACATTTTTTATGTCTTTCCTATACTTCCTCTCATCAAAATCCCATCTAAATTTTCTTCTAATATTACAAATATAAATTTGAATTTTTAACCATTAGTAATGTTAATTTCAAGTGAAGACTTAAGGAAAACAAAAATCTTGAATTGTTTGCCAGGCACCAACAATTTATGAACGTATTTCATAATTTCTAGAAACATGACTTGACTTTATATTTGGAAAGTGATGTTTCAATGTTTCAACATACTTTGAAATGACTCAGCAGTTTTATGTGTATTACTTAATTTAACATAACTTTAATAATTTAAATTACATGAAAAGTTAATTTATGAATGCTTATCTCATTTATAATTACCAAGATCTATTTTAACAATTACACTTAGATTACTTATGAACAAGCACAGTCATCATCTCCAATTATTTTCTTGACATCATTGCACATGCAACCCAGGAAGCAGTGAACTACATTGCACTGCGCTTTGTTTGTATATTGACTCTTAGGTCAAAGTTACTTTTGATCTTAAACAACTGACAGATAAACACAGCCACATCTAGCCAGCAAGCCCAGACAAAAATAAATGCTAACAATTCTGGAGACATCTTTATTTCTATTTTACCGGCAAATTTAAGACCAGATTATAGATCAAAAGTCTGTCATGTGAACAAGGAGGTGTGCAGGTTAATTACTAGAACCTTAACACTTTTAATTTATGTGGGCCCTCATTTACTTAGAGCCAATTCAGAGCAAAGTTCTTAAGGGTTTTACCATGTAGACAAAATACATATGACACATTCACATACCTCACACACACACACAAAGATCCGATAGCTTACATTTTAAAATTTCAGCCATGAGCCAGAAAAACAGAGTAGTATAAGATTAGCACTTTATAAAGAGACAGCTGAACCCAAATTCTATTCGTGACAGTTGGGACAAGGTAAGGTCACCTGCTGCTAAGGCCAACCTGTAAGGTGACCGTCTGCTCCGACAGGGGGTCATAGGAAGGCTGTGGGCCACTCACTTTCCACAGCACCTCGGCTTGTGGCAATGCCTGTTTTATTCTTTTTTCCCATTTTTTTTCAATCTCAAGTGGGTTTAGGAGTCAATTCTTTGATATTTTAGTCAAAACTGACAGAAATAGCAAACTTCCACACATCCTCAAGTAACAAAATTATCTTAATGTAAGTCAGCAGATTCAAAATTGGCAGAGAGAGAGAGAGGAGACACTAAAAAGCCCTTTCATGCTAACCTTATAATTGTAGCTTAAAAATTCTCTTTGACTTAAAAAACCCAATGTGTGTGAGAGCAGGGCACATCCAGCTGGAGCTCCCAGACGCAGACCTGTGCATCCTTTAACATGTGGGTATCCCACTGTGTTTCTTATCAATCTCATTTTTTTTTTGACAGGCAGAGTGGACAGTGAGAGGTCTTCCTTTGCCGTTGCTTCACCCTCCAATGGTTGCCGCGGCCGGCACCCTGTGGCCGGCGCACCGCGCTGATCCGATGGCAGGAGCCAGGTACTTCTCCTGGTCTCCCATGGGGTGCAGGGCCCAAGCACTTGGGCCATCCTCCACTGCACTCCCGGGCCACAGCAGAGAGCTGGCCTGGAAGAAGGGCAACCGGGACAGAATCCGGCGCCCCGACTGGGACTAGAACCCGGTGTACTGGCGCCGCAAGGTGGAGGATTAGCCTAGTGAGCCGTGGCGCCGGCTCTTATCAATCTCTTGATAGCAAAGAAAACCCTGTACCCCTGAGCAAGGAATGTTTAGAGTTTGGGACAGGTGTTTTGTTTTCGTTGGTTTTTCCAAGCCCGTGCACAGACTATCTTGAGGATATCAAAAGATCCCCAAGTCGGCCACGCACACTTCAGTCACCCCAAGTGGTGAGTCCCTTGTGACAGGCGCTGCTGCAGGCGCCCCTCTCCCAGGAGTGTCACCAGCTGGGTTGATAGTCACCCTCTGCATGGTGTGTGGGAGCCGAGGCACTGGGATGGCCAGGCTCCCATGGGCACCAACTGTTGGGCCAGGACTGTTCCTTCTGACCTACAAGACCGATGCGCTTATCTGGAGATCCCTTTGTGGCCACTGTGTGTTAGAGATTGTGAATTCCCACATCTGTGAGGTTTCTGGTCTCCTAGGAACCCTTTCCTGGGGGTGTCAGAGGAGCGGGGGCCTCTGTCTTCCAATGCCTTCATCATTTTGTTTGTTTGTTCCTCAACACAAGCAACGCAAAATTTCCAGTTGCAATTTCGGAAATGTCCACAGGATGTCACAGAGAGCTCAATTCTATGAAACAAATGAAAATAAGTGTGGGAATCTGCCTAGCAATGGCAGGCACAGCTCCCCTAGGTGGGTTTAAGCTGCATTCTGCCTAGCACACTCCCTAGGATACAGGAAAATGACATTTATCTTTGCCAAGCTCTCACCAAGAAAACAAATGGCTTCAGCTGGAAAAACAAACCTTACCTGGGGGAACCGCCCCTGAAGATGGCCAGAAGACCCACCTCACCCTTGATGAAGGAATTCCTTCCTTCCCAGAGGGAGACACCTGCAGAAAATGGGCCTCAACCCAAAGTGGGTGGACCGGGGCTCAGAAGGCTCACCTGTGGAAGTCCCTGAGCCATTGGGGCTTCATACAGGAAAAGGGGGTTCCTGGTATCTGACACCATCCCAAGTCCCACGGGCTAGAGGGACACCACTGGGTTTCCCTCCAGAATCCATGATCATCACCAGGATGGTGAGCTAAGATCACAAAAGAAGTGAACATAAAGTAGGAGTTTTGGGGCTGGTGCTGTAGCAGAGCAGGGTAAAGCCACTGCCTGCAGTGCCAGCATCCCATATAGGTGCTGGTTCAAGTCCCAGCTGCTCTACTTTCAATCCAGCACTCTGCTATGGCCTGCGAAAGCAATGGAAGATGGCCCAAGTCCTTGGGCCCTTGCACCCATGTGGGAGACCCAGAGGAAGCTCCTGGCTTCAGATGGGCCCAGCTCCAGCCAGTGCAGCCATTTGGGGAGTGAACCAGCAATGAAAGACACCTCTCTCTCTCTCTTCCTCTGTAATTCTGACTTTCAAGAAAATTAAATAAATTTCTGTCCTGTTAGAAACCCAACCTGCATTTCACCGAGGGAAAGGATCATTGGGACTCTGACTATGAGAAAAGGGAACGATGGGAGGACGGCCCAGGATTCCTGAGAAACCAGCAAGGGTGGGTGCAGAACCTGGTGCTGGAACCTGACACTAATCGTGGTGGTTAAAAATGTTGCAAGCCATAGAACTGTCAAGGCCAGGGACGGACTGGTCAGTTTGGAATCTCTCAAGGCCCATGGGGTACTGATAAAGTCCAGCAATTTGCTCCATTCTCAGCTCACAACACAGTGTGTGTGTAGCAACTTGTCCTGTACAATTTCTGAGGCACTCAACAGGATTTCTGCTTCTCTTTGACCATCCTGCAGCCATGAAACCAGTGCTCCATGGTACAGCACCACTGTGGGGCACCGCCAACCTTGAGCTATAACCTTTTGACTTCCCTGTTACTCATTTCCTTCCCATCAGACCAACCACGCTGGCTACCACTCTTTGGCCACACTGTGTGCTACCCCGCTCGACCCTCTGGCTGCCCCTACCATGCCCTTGACCTCATCATTTGTCCTAAACCTGCCTCCCTAGGTGCTCTCACCATCACAACCAATTCCATATTCTCCCTACTCCAACTTGAAGAATATTTAAATTGCTCATAGCTACCATTATTCCATTTCCAAATGCCACCAATGTGCCCAGCTGATGGAAGACTCCTCTCATATTCATTTACTCTAACAAGTTTATCGAATACCCCAATGTGGTGGAATGAGGAGGTGAAAAGGTCATGCCAATATGGCCGCTGACAACAGAAACTGCCTGGCAACAGGCCATGATTGGATGGCTTTGGAAACCACATGACAACAGAGGAAACCACATGACCACAGAGCCTGACTGATGGCAGGCCGTGATTGGATGGCTTTGGAAACTGCCTGGCAACAGGCTGTAATTGGTTAGGGCATAGACCGCACCTTGACCGTATTGGCTGGGCTTTGGTTATATAAGCAGCTGTAGCAACTGAAATAAACAAGTCTGTGGGCTGCTTGCCTCAGGCCTGCTTTCACGCGACTCCCGGGGTCTGTGTGGTGACTCCGAGCCTCTTGCTCCCATCATGCTCCTTCACTCAGAACAAATCCTCTCAGAAGAAATCAACCTCAACACCCCAACATGTACCAGCGCACTTTTCAGGTACTTGGGAATCCATCTACAGATTAAAAAAAAAAAAAAAACCCTGAAGTTTATAGTCTAGAGAGGAAGATGGACAATAAGGAATAAACCTGATAAATATGACCAAATGGTATGGTCTCAACAGGCTTTTGCTCCCAAAATTCACGCAGACATTTAAACCCCAGAGTCTTCAGTCGATGGCTAAGGGATTAATGTTTGACTCAAGGCCAAATGGGGACTGAAACCCATAACCTCAAAGTTCTCAAGTCCAGGCTTCTAAGGCCGTATCAATCCTCTTGTACCTCACTCATTCTACCTGTAGAGAAGTCAGATGGGGCAAATAGATTTGTGCAGGACCTAAGAGTGAGGAACCAGGCCATGATCCTCATCCACCCAATAGGTCCCAACCCCTGGGAAATCTGCCTTCCTCCAAAACCTTATTTCTTTTTTTTTTTTTTTAAAGATTTATTTATTTTATTTGAAAGGCAGAGCTACAGAGAAAGGGAGAGGCAGTGAGATCTTCCATCCACTGGTTTGCTCACCAAATGGCGACAATGGCCAGGGCTGGGCCAGTCTGAAGCCAGGAGCCAGGATCTTCCCCCAGATCCCCTATTTGTTTGCAAGGGCCCGAGTACTTGGGCCATCCTCCACTGCTCCCCCAGACACACCAGAAGGGAGCCAGTCTGGAAGTGGAGCAGCTAGGACTCAAATCAGGACCTATATGGGTGTGCCGGCACTGCAGGTGCACCACAGCGCCAGCCCCCATTTCTGCTTCTTAAGTGCAGCACCTCTTCTTGCACCCCATGTCCTCCCTCCAAGCAAGGAACTCACAATGAGGCCACACAGTGCAAGCGCCACGAAAGTTTCTCAGACACCACACTTCTGTCAAGTCCTTCCCACTGCACCCCAAACTACACTCACTGGGGCACCGGGGATCAGAGAAATCAGTCATGTTTTACCAGGGGGTGACTTTCTCCCTGGGTTTTTCCACCAACACCTGGCATATGGAGACCGACCACAGCCCATGGCTGCCGGGAATCAGGGAAGGTCTGATGTTGAAGTTGATTTCTTTGTGAGGATTCGTTCTGAGAGGAGGAGCGTGGTGGGGGCAAGAGGCACGGAGTCACCACCCAGACCCTGGGAGTCAGGTGAAAGCGGCCCAGAGGCGAGCAGCCCACAGACTCGTTTATTTCAGTTGCTACAGCTGCTTATATAGCCAAGGCAGCCAATCCAGTCAAGGGGTGGTCTATGCCCTAACCAATCACAGCCTGTTGCCAGGCAGTTTCCAAAGCCATCCAATCACAGCCTGTTGCCAGTCAGGCCCTGTTGTCATGTGGTTTCTGAAGCCATCCAATAATGGCCTGTTGCCAGGCAGTTTCTGTTGTCAGCGGCCATCTTGGCATGACCTTTTCACCTTCTCATTCCACCACATACAGGGCATGCCTTCTCACTGCAGGTTTAAGGTAAAGCTGACGATGAGACTTGGTAATACCTCCATGCCCTTAAGATTCAGTGCCCCCCGAATACTGCACAATCTTCAGACACTCCCCGTCTGAGCTCAGTGGTCCGCAGTCCACCCAAGCCTCTCTTGGAACTTCTCACCAGGGCGTTGACAACTATCACATTCACAGGGGTGAATGATGGCGTCTCTGTGCATCAGATATCAATGGGCTGGTATCAGCAGGCAAAGGAGCAGCCCTTGGGATTGCCACTTCTTGGGAAGACTTTGCTCATCAGGAGGCAACTATTAAAACTCTCCCTCTGGCCTGAGGGACCCAGCACGGGCGATGCTCTTGGTCACACGCAGACTCCTCTGCCTTGGCAAGTGTGGTTCTCCCCAACAGCCAGGTCCTGGACTTTCCTTTGATGGGAGGCTTTTAATCATTGCTTCAACCTCATCACTTGTTCTTGGCCTGCTTAGATTTTCTACATATCCTCGATTTAATCTTGGAAAGTCGTATGTGTCCAGGAATTCATCCTTTTCTTCCGTTTTTTGATTCATTAACACATGGTTGTTTATAGTAGTCTCTTCTGCTCCTTTGCATTTTGTGATCTCAGCCTTAATTTCTTCTTTTGCATTTCTAATTTTTTTATTTAAGATTTCTTTTTTGTTACTATTGCTAAAAGTTTGTCTATTTTGTTTATCTTTTTAAAAAATAACACTTTTCATTTTGTTAAGCTTTTGTTACTTTTTCATTTCTATTTCTGCTCTAATTTTTTAAAAAAGATTTATTTATTTATTTGAAAGGCAGAATGACAGAGAGGCAGAAGCAGAGAGAGAGGGAGAGGGGGAGGGAGAGGGAGGGGAAGGGAGAGGGAGGGGGAGGGGGAGGGGGAGGGGGTCTTCCATCCTCTGGTTCACTTCCCAGATGGCCACAACGGCCGGAGCTGAGCGATCCGAAGCCAGGAGTTTCTTCCAGGTCTCCCACATAAAAGTAATAAAAAACACAAAGATAAAAGAGAGTCAGAATGAAACAAAGAATATATAAAACAGTAAGAGACAACAAAATGAAAGAGCTAGTTCTTATCTGTCAATATGATTCTTGAATGTAAATGGATTACATTCCCAAGTCAAAAGGTAGAGACTGGCTGAATGGATTAAGCAAGACCCAGGGCAGGGTGTAGGGTGCAGAGACCAAGGACTTGGACCATCTTCTACTGCTTTCCCAGGCCATATCAGGGAGCTGGATTAGAAGTGGAGCAGCTGGGACTCGAACCAGCACCCATATGGGATGCCAGTGTTACAAGCTTAGCCTACTACACCACAGTGCTAGCCCTTTGTAGGGCTGGTCTGGTGGTGAATTCCATCAGTTTTTGCTTCTCTGGTAAAGATTTTATTTCGCTTTCATTTCTAAAGGATAGTTTCTCTGGATATAGTATTGTTGGTTGGTACTTTTTTCTTTCAAGACCTTGAATAGGGGCCAGCATTATGGTGTAAAAGGTTAAGACACTACTTGTAATGCCAGCATCCCATATTGGAGTTCAAGTCCCGACTGCTACACTTGTAGTCCAGCTTCCTGCTAATGTTCCTGGGAAGACAGCAAAAGATGGCCAAAATACTTGAGTTCCTACCACCCTCTTGGGAGACCCAGACAGAGTTCTGGGGTCCTGGCTCTGGCCTGGACAGCCCTGGCTTTTGCTGACATTTAGGGAGGGAACCAGCAGATGGAAGTTCTTTCTCTCTCTCTCACTTAAAAAGACCTTGACTGTATCATCTTATTCTCTTCCGATCTGTAAAATTTCCACTGAGAAGTCTGTTAGCCTAATGAGCTTTCTTTATGTGTAACTTGATGCTTTTCTGTTTTCAGGATTCTCTCCTTGTCTGTACCTGAGACTTTTGGAGTAAATATGCCTTGAAGGGGGTATTTTTGATTGATTATGGTTGGGGGTCTTTTGAGTTTCCTGAATGTGAATTTCTATACCTCTTTCAATACTTGGAAATTTTCAGTTATTTAATTATTTAACTTATTTTGGTTCTCAATGCCTTTTTCCTCAGCGCTCCTTCAGCTAGACCCACAACGCAAGTATTTGTTAGCATAGCGGTATCTCATGTGGTTTGCAGGTTTTCTTTGTTCTTTTGAATTTTTTTCTTTGTTTCTGTCTGACTGGGTTATTTCAGAAGTATTCTCCTCAGCATCAGGAGTTGTATTTTCTGGGGCCAATACTGTGGCCTAGCAGGTCAAACATCACTTGCGATGCTGGCACCACACAGTGGACTGCAGACTGAGTCCTGGCTGCCCTGCTCGCAGTCCAGCTTCCTGAAGATGCTCCCGGGAAGCAGTTGAAGATGGCACAGTGCTTAGAGCCCCGACCCCCACGTGGGAGACCAGGGTGGGGTTCCTGGTCTTCCCCAGACCTGGCTGCTGCATCCCTCTGGAGAGTGAACCAGTGGATGGAAGATTCTCTCACTCCCGCTCTGTCTGTTGCCCTGATGAAGAGAGGACCAACAGAAATGGGTGAAAATATTTTAAACTATTCATCTGACAAAGGATTAATACACAGAATTTATAAAGAACTAAAAAAACCCTCAACAACAAGAAAAACACTCCAGTTAAGAAATAGATGGAGCGGCCGGCGCCGCGGCTCACTAGGCTAATCCTCCGCCTTGCGGCGCTGGCACACCAGGTTCTAGTCCCGGTCGGGGCGCCGGATTCTGTCCCGGTTGCCCCTCTTCCAGGCCAGCTCTCTGCTGTGGCCCGGGAGTGCAGTGGAGGATGGCCCAAGGGCCCTGCACCCCATGGGAGACCAGAAGTACCTGGCTCCTGGCTTCGGATCAGCGCGGTGCGCTGGCCACAGCGTGCCGGCCACAGCGGCCATTGGAGGGTGAACCAACGGCAAAAGGAAGACCTTTCTCTCTGTCCCTCTCTCTCTCACTGTCCACTCTGCCTGTCAAAAAAAAGAAAAGAAAAGAAAAGAAAAGAAAAGAAAAGAAAAGAAAAGAAAAGAAAAAAGAAAAGAAAAGAAATAGATGGAGGAACTGAAGAACACAAAAAGCCAAACAGTACATGAAGAAATTTTCAGTATCACTAGCTATCAGGGAAATACAGATCAAAACCATGATGCGATATCTCAGTCCAGCTGGAACAACTATTATCAAAAAGAGAAAACTAACAAATGCCAGTGAGAATGTAGAGGAAAGGGAGCGCTTATACACAGGCGGTAGGGGTGCAAATTGGTAGAGCCATTGTGGAGAACAGAAAACTAAAACTAGATCTACCATATGACCCAGCTACCCTACTTCTGGGTAGGTACCCAAAGGACATGAAGTCAGGCTGTCAAAGAAACACCTACACTCCATGTCCATGACAGCACTGTTCTCGGTACTCAGGACATGGAATCAACCTAATTGTCCACCAACGGGTGAACGGATAAAAAAGATGTGGTATACAAGCACAGTGGAATATTACTGAGCCATAAAAAAGAATGAAATCCTGACATTTGCAGCAACATGGATGGAACTTGAGATCACTATGTTAAGTGAAATAAGACAGATACCACATATCCTCTCTCATACATGAGCGTTTTTAAATGTCTACCTGGACTGAAAACAGGAATACCTAGAAGCTGGGGAGGATGGGGGAAGGGGGCAAAGAAGAGATTTGGATAATGAGTACCAAAGTGCTGTGCAGAATCCCACAGGCGTCCCAAAAGAGTTACGGAGTGCCACTAACCCGAAAAGAAAGCGAAAAAGCAAAACGAAAATGGAGTTACTTAAGCTAAGGCCACTAAGCACCAGCATCTGTCAGAACAGACACAGGCGGTGAGGCCTGATGAGGACTGGGGGACATTACATCCTAAGAAGAAGCCAACCAGCCGGCTACTGCATTACCTCACCCACACTACTGCACCATGATCGGTCACACCCAGGAGACCCCCAACACACCATCAGCCACACCCAGACACCAACATCTGGTTGGTGACACCCAAAAAGATGAGTCTGTGGTTGGTGACACCCCAGGGCCCCTTCACTGCCCACCTACCCCAGAGCAAGGATAACAAGCCTCACACCAGCTCTCATCCCCTGGGGGACCACGGCTCAGTGCAAGTGAAACTCTGCCCGCGTCGTCACTGACTGAAGCTCTGCTCGCCACTCGCTGGAGCCCACCTCGCCTGGACATCCCAGCCACTGCTGGAGCTGACATCAGATCTGGACCGGACTTCTCATCGGTGACTTCTCCAACTCTTCACCGTCGAGCCTGCTGCCCAGAGTGCCAGTCATCCCACGACTGCTGTCCATAAGTGACTGTTCTGAAATCCGTCTCTCCGAGTGCTAACAGAGACTCTGGACTCTGGACTTTGGACTTTGACTTTTCGTGACCATGATAGGAACCTTGAGAACGCAGCATTCATATTACACCCTTTGCCATGAGTGTTTAGATTGGTTATGCTTTTATGCTGTGTATGTGTTACACTTATTACTATTGCTGGATATATCCTAGAAGTTGTCTTATTCCTGGATGTGTGTTATGTGGACTAATAACATATTGAGTGGCATTGACCTTTAGATGTGTGCATTGAATATATATATTGAGTGGTATTGAATATTGAATAATGAATGATATTGAAATTATATTGATTCTGTGTGATTCTTCCCCGTGCTCCGACACGTCGCATTAGCCTTCTTGAGCTGCGTGGTGAGTGGCGCTTGCAACAAGCATCATTACATAGGATAGGTTCTGAGGTGGGTGTTGAGCCCAGCAGTGGGACGTGGTTAAGATGCCCGTGTCCCATGTCATAGAACCTGCGTTTGATACTCGACTCCAGCTCCTGACTCCAGTTTCCTGCTAATGCAGATCCTGGAAGGTAGTGGTAAAGGCTCAAGTAGTTCCTACCACCCCCCGGGAGACCTGAACTGAGCTTCTGGCTCCTGGCTTTGGCCCTGGCCCAGCCCTCACCTTTGAGGGCATTTGAGGAGTGAACCAGCAAAAGGACTTACTCTCTCTCCCTCTTTCCTTTTGTCTCTCAAATATACATTTTTTAAAAGAAGTACTGTGCTAGCTGGTGCTGCGGCTCACTAGGCTAATCCTCCACCTGCGGTGCTGGCACCCCGGGTTCTAGTCCCGGTTGGGGTGCTGGATTCTGTCCCGGTTGCTCTTCTTCCAGTCCAGCTCTCTGCTGTGGCCCAGGAGTGCAGTGGAGGATGGCCCAAGTGCTTGGGCCCTGTACCTGCATGGGAGACCAGGAGGAAGCACCTGACTCCTGGCTTCGGATCGTTTCAGCACGCCGGCCATAGAGGCCACTTGGGGGGTGAACCAACAGCAAAGGAAGACCTTTCTCTCTGTCTCTCTCTCTCACTGTCTAACTCTGCCTGTCAAAAAAAAAAAAAAAAAAAAAGTACTGGGCATTGGCGGTCTACTGCAGAGTGGGGAGCTATAGTTCACAATAATGTGTTATGCTACTGTATAAAGAACTGAGGGGGTTGGCAAGTTCCAAACAAAGAAAAGCTGATGGAAATGTTACTTGTCCAACATTGTGAGCCCACTTTCTGGCAAGTTCTAACAAACACACAGAAGGAATTGTCTCAAAAAGTGATTTATTTGGAGCAAATAAGAGACCATAGTAAAGAATTTCCAAAGACATAACTCCATGAACAGAAAAAACAGAGAGCTTTAATTTTTGGAGTATATTAATCTGTAAGAGGGGACATTCTCATCACCACACATGGGGGGGGCGTACCAGTCCACACAGGCACAGCACAGAAACATGTGTCGCCTGAGACTGCAATGTTAGGGTAATGGGGCTTAAGCTCCTCCTGGGATAGAGCTCTTAGTACTAAGATGAAGCAGAGGATGGCATCGGTGCTGTGGAGTAGCAGATAAGGCTGCCGCATCCCATAGGGGTGCCGGTTCGGGTCCCAGCTGCTCCACTTCCAATCCAGCTCTCTGCTGTGGCCTGGGAGAGCATCGAGGTGGATCAAGTGCTTGGGCTCCTGCACCTGCATGGGAAACCCGGAAGAAGCTCCTGGCTCCTGGCTTTAGATAGACTCAGCTCCGGCCATTGTGGCCATTTAGGGAGTAAACCAGCGGATGGAAGACCTCTCTTTCTCTCTCTGCCTCTGCCTCTCTGTAATTCTGCCTTTCAAACAAATAAATAAATCTTTAGTAAAATAAATAAATAAAACAAAGCAGAGTTGTTTCACACACTTTTTTTTTTTTGACAGGCAGAGTGGACAGTGAGAGAGAGAGAGAGAAAGGTCTTCCTTTGCCATTGGTTCACCCTCCAATGGCCACCACGGCTGGTGCGCTATGGCCAGCGCACCGCTGGGTCTTGCCGCTCTCCCTGGAATGTGCCTGAAAACCTGAATGATGACTTTGCAGAACATCAGGCGCTTTCAGGTATTGAAATAGCAATGAATCACAATGAAGCCTTTTGAGCTTCCCGGGGGCATTGGCTGTTGACATACATGCTAATCACCTGATCTGATCAGTTTACACTGTGTACTTATGTTGAAATATTGCACGCTACCTCATAAAAAAGTACTTAATTGCTAATCAAACATTTTCAGAAGATAAAAAAATTTAAAAGGACATATTCTAGTCAGGAGGCCAGATGGCAGAAAATTAATTCAAGTAAACCTATAATCAGATGCTTAGGAACGAGAAGGTTTCTGAGATTAGGTAGCTAGGACAGACCTCTTTGTTAAAAACTCAGCTTCCGATAAGCCTAGACTATCATGAAGTAGCCTACCACAAGGAGATGTGAAGAACATTCCAGAAAAAAAAGGAATAGTAAATGTAAGTACATACTCGTATGTGTGTTTTTGCATTCAGGAATGTCTGGGAGAGTTATCCTAAACAGCACATTTTGTCTCTGTGGTGTGAGGGAATTTATGTAACAGCATCTTTTCCATATAAACACTGTCAGCAATAAGCATACATTAGCTCAGGGCTCAGTGGATGGGCTGGAGAATGGCCGGCCTATGTTGGGCTCAGCTGGGTGGCTCCTGATGTCCAGGGGACACAAGAGTGAAAACCCATTTGTTCAATTGCTTTTCCAGGCTGTGGTCAGTCTGGCTAGGCATGCTTTGGGTTCTTGTCTCCCCGAGAGAGAGGATTCAAAAAAGGGACCTGGATAGACATGAGTAGGAAAGCAAGTCACTGGAGGTGAAAGTACACACTCAGGAATGGGTTATAATCAAAGAGCAGGGCATCCTCTCATACAATCTGGAGGCATAGTGGGGGGTGTCTTGGGTGGGGTGTAATTGAATATTCAAAAAGCATGGGGTTTGGGGTGGGCTTTAGCATCACCCATTTTTTCTTCCTTTTTTTAAAATTTATTTGAATGTCAGACCTACACAGAGAGAGGAGAGGCAGAAAGAGAGAGAGAGAGGGAGAGAGGGAAGTCTTCCATCCGCTGGTTCACTCCCCAATTGGCTGCAATGACCGGAGCTGCACCATCTGAAGCCAGGACCCAGGAGCTTCTTCGGGGCCTCCCACGTGGGTGCAGGAGCCCAAGGACTTGGGCCATCTTCTACTGCTTTTCAAGGCCATAGCAGAGAGCTGGGCTGCAGCACACATGTGGGCAGTGGTCACCTCCTGCTCCCAGCTACCTTCCTGCCTACATCAGCCCCTCCACATCCATGACTCACAGTGCCACAGGGACACTGTCAGGATCTCCCACTTCGGGAACTGGCCGGGTGGCGAAGGAAGAGTCGAGGAGACTGAGGAAGGTCAAGCTAAATACACTTTATTGATGCTCTAGGCGACTAGGAGGAGAGATCGCTCAAGCCTACTCCTGCAGGCACTAGCCGCTACAGACCAGGAGCTTCTCCCCGTGGGCACAAGGCACTACGGACCGGGGAGAGAGGCTGAGCAACCTCTGGTTTACAGCGTCTGAGGGTCCCCTTATATACAGTTTCTAGAGGCTAGCCCTGCCCATATTCCCGACCTCCCAGGGTCCCATAGTCATGGCAATGACAGTTTGTGGTTAGGCCGTCTAGTTAGGCCATCCCTTTTGAAATCTTACCGGCTAGCGTGGTTACCTTTCTACTTTTCTTTCAAGCTGCGCTACTGCACAGTTACTTTCTTTCAAAGGGCGCTACAGTTACTTTGTTTCAAATGGCACTACAGTTACTTTCTCCATGAATGGTTCCCTAACAGTCCTCCCTTTTCTTTTCTTTAAATGTGCTCATAGCCCTGCAAAGCCCGTTGAGCCGCTGGGCCCAGGGGATGAACATTCTTGAGCATATCCTGGATTGATTTCCAGATTCAGGATCTTCTTCTTCTTCTTTTTCTTCTTCTTCTGTTTCTGGTGGGCTGGGTGTCTTTCGGAGGGCTAGGTATCCCTTCGCGAAATTCTGTCCAATTGAGAAGAGGTGCTGTAAGATAGGCTCCTATTTTAAACCATTTCCAGGATGGGAGCCAAGAGGAAACTGTGTCAGTCAGAATATGTATTGCCTGTTCCACTGTTTTGACTTGATCTATCTTAAATGCGCTATATTTTGAAGCTGTATTATCTGTAGAGCTCTCTTAGTAATGTTAGCCTCAAGATGAGCGGTTGCATTTACCCACTCTAGCCAGGTAGAATGGTTGTGTTTGAACATATCAGTTAGTTGCATTGCATTAGGAATGGATAGATTGTTCCATGGAATGGTGGTAATGCAAACTCTTCCAATCGCTTCACACTCGAGTTCTCTTTCCAAAGCTAGTATAGTAATTATCTATTCTATTTGTACTGTGTGTGCTTCGAGCATCTGGAGCCCCATAGCATGTGTCTTAAGCAGTGCTGACTGGTCACCTAGTGAGCCCGCTGCTCTTGAATTACCTTCAGGAGGGACTCCAAAGCATCTCCCTGTAGTTGGGTAGTGCTTAGAGCCAGTGCTCCAGTCACAGCGCCAGCTACCATGGCTGCTGACACTGCTGTAGCGACAATAGCTGCTGTTACTCCAAAGTCTCTTTTTTTGAGCATCGGTTTTATTGGTATCGTCAAATCAGACATATTTACTGATACATATGTGAAGGGAGTTGCCTTTACCACCATATATGGAGCCAAGAATGTTATCATTCTCTCTTCCCATTCCAGGTCTCTTATATAGCAACTGAGCTCCTTTTTAGAATCTAATGGGTGTGTGCATCTAGCATACAATACCTCCCCTTCTGTCCTGCCTGTCCAACTTCCTGGGTCTTCCCTTACTGGAGTTTTTACAAAATGTTTGTGAAACATTTCATATCCTGCCTGCCAAAAACAATGTGTTGACTGATTGTTACTTGGAGGTCTGCATCTAATATATCTATGCTCTGAGCCATTTTTACAAATAAAAGAGCACATTATTAATATCAGGGTATGTATAGGCTGGTGGGTTTTCTACTAGGCCTAACACTTGTTCTTCTGTTTTTATCCTTGGCAATATAATTAAGATGGTAATTATCATTATCCATCCATAAGCTCTGAGCATAAGTAGTTCAAATCTTTCCCACAATCTCATTTAGTTGCCTAATATTTTAAATCATTTAAACATCTGCTTACCTTCAATTAGCTTACCTTTATCTGGGTCCCATCTCCGTTTGCTGCTGCTGTTGCCATTTCTGGAGTTCTTTAGTCCTAGCTCTGGAATATGAAATCCCTAATTCTTTCTGTGAAAAAGCACCTTACAAACACATGAGTTCTTTTGACAGGATAATTGCAATTGATATTCCATTAGTGCCTAATTGGAAATTCCCAAATCCTGAGGTCCTGGGGCTGGAGCCATCCTAACATGTCTTTGGGGCAAGCTAATAATCCCCTTTTCAGGTGTGTCGATCACTACTGCTCCTTCTCCTTTCCAAAGGATGGTAGTGGGCCCTTTCCAGTCTTTACTGTTGGATAATCTATAAAAGCAAAGGAGTTTTTTGTCTTTAAATTTCTGGAGTTGGAGCGCTTGCTCTAATTCTTGCCATCTCTGATGGATATATCTTTCAGTAGGAGTATAGCCCCCTATTCCTCCCCTTTTCTTTTGATTAAGGGCGATAAGAGCCAATTGTAGCCGTGCTTCAATGGTTTGAACCACATCGGCAAATTTATCCATTTCTTGTCTTAAGGATTGATTAGCTCTCTCAACCAATCCCTGTGACTGTGGATCATAGGGTGTGCCTGTGGTATGATCAATATTTAAATATTGGCACAATCCCGTGACCTTTTCCGCTGTGAAGTTAGGGCCATTATCTGTATGGAATGCTTGGATATGAAATAGGTTCTGTAGCTCTAATATTCCCCATACTGTTTCCTGAGCAGTTTCCTTAGGAATTAGCTTAGCCCATAGAAGGCCAGTAGATGAGGCCATTGAGAAATGGCTACCAGAATTAGCCGGGCCTCATAGTGGGTCACATCCATTTGCCACTGTCCTGGCCCTGATCTACTAATATGAGGAGTAGTTCCTCCTTTATGCATACACTTGGGGCAGTTCTTTATTATTTGTTCTGCTACAATTTTTGGTAAGCTGAATTGTTATCTCAAGTATGACACATCACTATGCCATTTAGCATGATCATCCGTGGCTGTCTCAATATGTTCTAGAAAAAAGATGTTTGGTGCCTTACTTGTGTCATGGAGGAAAGGCATTAAAATTAACTGAGCTACTAGTTGTCCTGTTTTTACATATACTATTTTTTGGGATAGGTTGACCAATCTTATCTTTAAAGGATTTTGATCTCCTGGGCTGATGAAACCTCCAACTACTTTTACTTTGGCCTCAGTCATCTCTGGTGTTTCTGTTATCCACCCCCACTGTCCTGGGATTATGATAATTCATGTTTGTAGGTTAAGGGTCTCTATTACCTTTGGCATAAGTACTAGATCTCTTGGGGCATTTATGGAGGATCCAATCTGTTCTGGTTCTTTTTCCTTAATGTGACCACCTTGTACTACCAGGTTTATTTGAGTTGTATTTATTTGTGAAACTAATTTGTCAATATTTTCATTGCCTGGGATTCCCTTATGTCCAGGCACCCATTGGATATAAATTTCTTTTTTTTTTTTTTTTTTGACAGGCAGAGTGGACAGTGAGAGAGAGAGACAGAGAGAAAGGTCTTCCTTTTCTGCTGGTTCACCCCCAGTGGCCTCTCCGGCCAGCGCACTGCGCTTATCTGAAGCCAGGAGCCAGGTGCTTCTCCTGGTCTCCCATGTGGGTGCAGGGCCCAAGCACTTGGGCCATCCTCCACTGCCTTCCCGGACCACAGCAGAGAGCTGGACTGGAAGAGGAGCAACCGGGACTAGAACCTGGTGTGCCAGCACTGCAAGGCGGAGGATTAGCCTATTGAGCCGCCGCGCCAGCCATAAATTTCTTCTTTACTCTCTATAGCTTCTAGTATAGTTCTAGGCAAGGGTTCTTCAATATTTACAGGTAGGGGTCTGGCCTCAATTAATGTATATACATATTGGGAATCTGTAACTATATTCATTATTGGGGGTCCTTCTAGAAGGGCTAGTAGCATGGCTCTTTTTTCTAATTCTTGATTACTTCCCTCACCCTCCTTAACTAGTTTAACTCCATCTGATTTCCAAAAGCCATATTTTCCTTGCCCCTGTTTGCTTCCTCCATCAACATAGTAAGTAGGTCCTGGCATGGGATGACCTTGAAGACTGCTTAGTGCTCTTCTAAGCATTACAGACACATGGATACATTCAATCTGCGGTACCCAATGCAAGTAGGGGTCTTCCTGAATCATAACATCTAAATCCTCTTTTTTTGATAGGTAACCTATATATAGGTTCTTGCCCTGTTTATATAATACATTCTTGTCTGATTTTATGTAGACATTTTAGGGCTCTAGTTAGAGGAGATGCTGCTAATACCTTTGGAAATTCCTGTCTACCTACCCAAAGGATATCAGATCCTTGGTGCACTTTATAATTTATGGTGCTACCTCCCATCATAACTGTACAGTAAACTTCCTTGCTGGGGTCCCAGTAGCTTAAAGGTTTGTGTTCTTGTAATAGCCTCCTTATAGTCTGTAACTCCTGTCTTGCTTCGGGGGTCCATTCCCTGATACCATTTAACTCTCGGTTTCCCTTCATCATAAGAGTAAAAGGTTTTGTCTTAATTCCAGGAACAGCTTGGGACATCCAATTAAGGAGTCCTACTATCTTTTGTAGTTCATTTAGGGTGGGCTTCTCTGGAAGTTCTGGCAACTCTAGTTTTTGCAATGTCCACTTATTCGGGTGCAACAAGTACCCCATCCATGAACAGGGATATTGTTCTTGTAATTTCTCATTCAGGGTCTCAAATCCCTTTTCTAAAAGCATTTTTCTGAGTTTTTCTACTATCAGTTTGTGGTGTTTTGGAGAATGATCGAACCCAATATATATATCATCCATATATTGATAAAGATCTGCCTCTGAATGTTGTTGTCTCCAGGGCTCTAGTATGTCCCTTAGTGTACTTTGTAAATCAAGGGACTTTATACAAAACCTTGTGGGAGGCAATTCCAAACACACCTATGGCCTGGTCCTTGATTATTAACCCAGCGGAGAGGAGCCAAGGAGACAAAGGCCAGGGATCTGAGCAGACAGGGCCTGCCGAGCTGCCCCGTGCATCGCCATTACAGTCCGCTGTCCTGGACTCTGCTCCTTCCTCGCCATTTCTCTGCGTCATCATTACTGAAGCCTTTCGGGTCACTTGCGGCTTGCATTTGATAAATGCGTATTCTTTCCCTTGTTAATCTGTTTTTGGGGGCCTGCATTGTGCAGAGGGTTCAACCACGACCTGTGACCTCTCATGTGGATGCCAGTTCAAGTCTCAGTGACTCCACTTCCAATCCAGCTCCCTGCTGATGCACCTGGGAAAGCAGCAGAGGATGGCCCAAGTGCTTGGCCCCTGCACCCACGTGGGAGACCTGGATGGAGCTCCTGCCTTCCACTCAACCCAGCCCTGGCTATTGCAGCCATCTGGGGAATGAACCAGTGGATGGAAGATCTCTCCCTCTCTGTAACTCTGCCTCTCAATGAAGCACATAAATATTTTAACTTTTTTAAAATCTGTGTTTGGTTATAGGGGCCTCAGTGAAAAGCCTAAGATGGGAAAAGTATATAAATACCTTTTTCCCTACAATCCCATCTAAAAATCCTTAACCTAATTACACTACAAAGACTCTTTCTCCAAACACACTAACTTCTACAGGCTCTGGAAATGAGTAAAAGCATATCCTTAGGGCCACCATTCAGCCCACTACATGTAGCTGACTCATGGATGAGTGTGTAAAACATGCATGAACTCTGGGGCCGGCACTATGGCTTGGTAGGCTAAGTGTCTGCCTGTGGTGCCAGCATCCCATATGGGCACCAGTTCGAGTCCCAGCTGCTCCTCCTCCCATCCAGCTCTCTGCTTATGGCCTGGGAAAGCAATGGAAGATGGTCCAAGTACTTGGGCCCCTGTACCCATGTGGGAGAACTGGAAGAAGTTCTTGGCTTCCAGCTTCAGATCAGCTCAGCTCCGGCCGTTGTGGCCATTTGGGTAGTGAACCAGCAGATGGAAGACCTTTCTCTCTGTCTCTCCCTCTCTCTGTCTATAACTCTACTTCTCAAATAAATAAATAAAATCTTTAGGGGCTGACACTGTGGCGCAATGGGTTAAAGCCTCAGCCTGCAGCGCTGGCATCCCATATGGGCACCAGTTTGAGTCCCAACTGCTCCTCTTCCTATCCAGCTCTCTGCTTTGGCCTGGGAAAGCAAAAGAAGATGGTACAAGTCCTTGGGCCCCTGCACCAGCATGGGAGACCTGGAAGAAGCTCCTGGGTCCTGGCTTTGGATCAGCCCAGCTCTGGCTGTTGCGGCCATTTGGGGAGTGAACCAGCGAATGGAAGACCTCTCTCTCTGCCTCTGCTTCTGTAATTCTGACTTTCTAGTAAAATAAATAAATCTTAAAAAAATTTATATAAAAGGAATCACCACCAGGCTGGCACTGTGGCTCACTTGCTTAATCCTCCACCTGCAGTGCTGGCATCCCATATGGGCACCAGGTTCTAGTCCCAGTTGCTCCTCTTCCAGTCCAGCTCTCTGCTGTGGCCCGGGAAGGCAGTGGAGGATGGCCCAGGTGCTTGGGCCCCTGCACCCGCATGGGAGACCAGGAGAAGCACCTGGCTCCTGGCTTCAGATTGGTGCAGCACGCCAGCCGTAGAGGCCACTTGGGGGGTGAACCAACGGAAGGAAGACCTTTCTCTCTGTCTCTTTCTCTGTCTATAACTCTACTTGTCACATATTAAAAAAAAAAAAAAAAAAGACATGTGTGGCCGTATTTGTTTCATTCATGGATGACTGTCATGTGAGTGGATTCACGTTATGAAAACACCACTGTCTACTGATGCATTCTACCGTCAATGGACACCTCGGGTTCTTTCGCACCTTTCTTCAAGAGTGTCTTTGGGGCTCACGGATTTAGACAGGACCACCTGAGTCAGGTTTGCAGAGCAAAGCCAGACTGTCCCAACAAGATCACGGCATTGTCAGTCTCCACTGCCTCATGCCCTCTCTGCCCGCTGCTAATCACATGTTTAGAGTTTGCCGATGGGGCGAGTGTAAAACGGTGACGTGGTTGGGAGTCCCCACCCCCGAGACTGGTCTCTACCTGGGCCCTGTGGTTTCCAGAAGCATCCTTTGACCCCTAGGGGGAGGCAGCCGCACCTCCATGGTCATGCACCCTGCACAGCTGCAGGACCAGGACAGCAAGGAGGCTGCCGTGGCTCACCGCGTGCACCCTCCACAACAGCAGCCCAAGCCACGTGCAGCCCCACCTGAGAGAGTGCCCTGGAGAGACACGGGGTGGCCCTGAGCAGTAAGAGCCAAGATCCCACAAGCGCCCTGCTCCCCTCACTGGAAATCCTTCTCTTTCAGGGCCTGGTGCCCTGGGCCTGTGACAGGCCTGGCAGCCTTGAAGTTCTCTGCAATGCCCCTGGGGTCACCCCGCACCCCCCGTCTTGTCGAACAACACCTGAGTTCTTTCCAGCCCCACTAATCTCTAGCAAATGGCTGCTTGGCCACACCCCTGGTGTTCTCTCCAAGATGGAGAGTCTTCCAAATGTTAATGTTCCACTTCCCTTTTGATTATGAATTCCATCTTTACCTGGTTCCTCTTTTTTTTTTTTTTTTTTTTTTTTTTTTTTTTTTTTTTTACCATTAAGTTAGGAAAAGCATACAGCACCCCAAACATTTTGCTGCTTAGATTTTTCCCACCAAATACCCAAGTGTGTTTCTCCTAACTGGGTGCCTTCTGCGGGTGCCTTCTGTCATATCCCGACACTCATATCCCATAGAGGAGCGCCTGGGTTCATGTCCTGTCTCAACTTCCAATCCAGCTTCCTACTAATGTGCACCCTGGGAGGCAACAGGTGATGGCTCAATACTGGGGTCCCTGCCATCTACCATGGAAACCTTAATTGAGTTCCAGGACCCTGACTTTAGCCTGGCCCAGCCCTGGCAGTTGTGGGTTGGTACCAGGGTGGCCTGGGAGTGGGGTGTTGTAATAACAGATACCTAAAATGTAGAAGTGGCTTTGGGACTGGATAAGAGGTAGAGCCTGAAAATTTCTTTTTTTCTTTTCTTTTCTTTTCTTTTTTCTTTTTTTTTTTTTTTTTAGACAGGCAGAGTGGACAGTGAGAGAGAGAGAGAGAGAGAGAGAGAAAGGTCTTCCTTTACCATTGGTTCACCCTCTCTAATGGCTGCTGCAACCGGCGCGCTGCGGCCAGTGTACCACACTGATCCGAAGCCAGGAGCCAGGTACTTCTCCTGGTCTCCCAAGTAGGTGCAGGGCCCAAGGACTTGGGCCATCCTCCACTGCTCTCCCGGGCCACAGCAGAGAGCTGGACTGGAAGAGGAGCAACCGGGACAGAATCCGGCACCCCGACCAGGACTAGAACCCGGTGTGCCGGCGCCACAGGCGGAGGATTGGCCTAGTAAGCCGCAGCACTGGCCAAAAATTTTTTTAAAAAAGATTTATTTGAAAATCAGAGTCACAGAAAGAGAGGGACAGAGAGAGAGGGAGATTTCCCAGCCCCTCGTTCATTCCCCAGATGGCCCCAATGGCCAGGTCAAAGCCAGGAGCTTCATTCAGATCTCTCACGTGGGTGGCAGTGGCCCAAACGGCTGGGCCGTCCTCCCCTGCTTTTCTCAGGCCATCAGCAGGGGGCTGGATTGGAAGTGGTGCATCCAGAGCACGAACTTGCGCCCATAGGAGATGCTGGTGTCATGGTATCTGCTTAGCTCACTATGCTACACAGCTGGCCCTGGAAATTCTTGAAGGAGATACTGCAGAAAGCCCATGCTGTCATGATGAGCCTTAAGAGTGAACCAGCAAGGCCCTCTGTTTCTGTGCCTGCTTCCCAAAGTATGTTCTTGCAGAATACTCTTTCATCTAAATTCCTGGACACTGTTCAGAGGGATCGGAGTTTGGACCGCTTTGTTGAGGACTATATCCCCAGCAGATAGATAGCGCTTGGCACGGGCAGATGATCCCTTAATATTTGTTTAATAGATCCACTGCTTGTGCAAACTTGCTCTCCATTTCCCAACATTGCTTAAAATTGTTCTCACAGGAGCATGGCTTTCCCTAACATCCTCTCCGAAGAGGCCTGCTCATTCTGCCACCTCCAGCGAGCTGCAGGGTCAGGAGGTAGGGTCAAGGATCAAATCCTTGTGCTCCTCAGCACCACTTCTACATCCTTGACCCTAAATACAATGGCTGATTTCAAAACCTTCTCAGGCAGACATGGGCGCAGCGGCTAAGAGGCTGCTTGGGCCACCTGCAGCTCACACGGGAGCGCCTGGTTTTCAGTTCCAGCTCTGCTTCCAGTTCCAGCTTCCTGCTAACGTGCAACCTGAGAAGTAGCGGGTGATGGCATCAGTGCTTGAGTCCCTGCCACCCACGTGGGAGACCTGGTGGAGTTCTGGCTCCTGGATTCAGCCTGGCCCAGTCCTGGTTGTTGCAGGCATTTGGGAAGTGAAACAATGGAAGATTCTCTCTCTCTCTCTCTCTCTCTCTCTCTCTCTCTCTCTCTCTTTCATTTAAGTAAAAATACAATTTTTAAAAAATCTTATCACATGGCCAGTACTGTGGCGTAGCAGGTAAAGCCACCACCTGCAGTGCCAGCATCCCCTATGGGCACCAGTTCAAGTCTCAGCTGCTCCTCATCTGATCCAGCTCTCTGATGTGGCCTGGGGAAGCAGTAGAAGATGGCCCAAGTCCTTGGGCCCCTGCACCCACGTGGGAGACCCGGAGGAAGCTCCTGGCTTTGGATTAGTGCAGCTCTGGCTGTTGTGGCTATTTGGGGAGTAAGCCAATGGATTAAAAACCTCTCTCTCTCTCTCTCTCTCTCTCTCTCTCTCCCCTTCCCTCTCTCTCTCTCTCTCTCTCTCTCTGTTTCTGCCTCTCTGTAAATCTATCTTTCAAATAAATAAGTAAATATTTTTTAAAAATCTTACACCCTAAATTCCAACTTGAAGGTCATCCCAGGATGGGCCTCCATCAGTGGTCTATTCTGGGTATGGGTCACATTCTCCTGTATCTCCTATGCCAACTAATCTTGGATGTGACCCTGGTTATGACAGGTGACACGTGGTAAAGACTCTGGGTTCTCTTAAGTTCTGTTGAAAATACTGATGTATTTCTTTTCAAAGTCAGTTACCTTGGCTAAGTTCCCCGAGCTCTGAGATTTCAATTCAGTCCTGTGAGCTTTAGCTAAGGACCTTGGGGTTTCTAATGCATAAACAATCCCACAATCTGTCACAACTTGGGACAGGGCTTACACATGGAATGCAGGACTCCTCTCTGGCTCTGTCCTTTAGATGCCACCACCACCGCCAGCAAGTGCTGCAGCAGTCACCTGCCCTGCAAGTTTCTCTCTGGCACAGCCCAGAGCCTGCCTTCAGACCAAAAGCCATTTCACAAAAGCAAAACACAGATGCTATGTTGTGGTGCATGGATTACTATCAGGGTGCTAGCGTGAGTCCCGGCTGCTCTGCTTCCAATGCAGCTCCATGCTAATGCAGCGGGGGAAACGGGGAAGATGGACCAAGTCCATGAGCCTCTGACACCCATGAGGGAGCCCCAGATAGTTCCAGACTCCTGGCTTCAGCCTGGCCCAACCCTGGCCATTGTGGCCATTTGGGGAGTAAACCAGTGGATGGAAGATCTCTCTCCTCTCTCCCTCCCTCTCTCCCCCACCCCATTGTAACTCTTCTGTTTAAGAAAAAAAAAAAAGATTTATTTATTTGAAAGGCAGAGTTACAGAGAGGCAGAGGCAGACACAGAGAAAAGTCTTCCATCCGCTGGTTCACTCCTCAAATGGCCACAACGGCCAGAGCTGAGCCAATCTGAAGCCAGGAGCCAGGAGCTTCCTCCAGCTTTCCCACATGGGTGCAAAGACCCAAGCACCTGGGCCATCTTCCACTGCTTTCCCAGGCCACTGCAGAGAGCCGGATTGGAAGTGGAACAGCCAGGACTTGAACCAGCGTCCATATGGGATGCCAGAACTGCAGGCAGCAGCTTTACCCACTGTGCCACAGCACCGGGCCGATTACTCCGCCTTTCAAATAAATAAATCTTTAAAATAAAAAAGAACGAGATGATGTTAAAGACATAACCCACACAGCAGCAGACAACCCACAGAAATTTGCAAAGAAAGAAGAAATGAATTTTGTCTCTGTCCTAATTCAAACAAGAGAAACACCACAGAGATCGAACCAGCTCAGCTTGCACAATTCTGACGGAAATAATAATAATAACAATAATAATAATAAGTGGACCAAGCTTCCGGTCACTGGGAATCAGCGCTGTCCCACGGGACTGGACCAGCGGGGCGTGGTCCTAACATTTCCTAAACCTGCAGGACGGAGACGAACCCCGCCTCATTGTGCGCGCTGACGCCAAAGCACAGACAGCCACGGCCACCGCCACGCGGGAGCTGCCAGGCGGCGAGGGGGCAGCCAGGAGCGAAGGCCATGGCCGCGGTTTCTCGTGGGGGCTGCAGTCTCCGTCTCGTTGACTTTACAGAGCTTTGTTGTGACAGTGTCCTGAGACAGAGTCCCGCCGGGGCGTGCGCGGAACCCCAGAGCGGTGGTGCAAGCAGGAGCGCCCGTGCAGGTGAGGAGCCGGGTGGGCGCTGCCCCCTCGCTGGCCGTGGGACCCCAGCCAAGCTCCTCCAGCCTGCCGGCCCCCCTACCTCCCTTGCACAGGGAGACAGCAGCCCTCCCCACCCCCCACCCCCACCCCCGCTGCCACAGTGACTGGTGCAGAACAGGCGCCCAGAAAGCTGCTCACGGGGAGAGAAGAGCTCCAGGAGCGGTGGGCGGTGGGCGGGTGTGCCCTGCGCACAGGGGCGCCCTGAGAGCCCGGCTGGAGGAGTTTGGGAATCAGATGTCCGAGGCGGTGGATGCGCAGCACTGCGTGCCTAAAGTGCCTGAACTGCGCGCTCTAAAGCCGTTCTAGGTGATATTAATTTCAGCCCGTTTTTAAAGAGTATTTATTTATTTGAAAGTCAGAATTAGAGGGAAAGAGAGGCAGAGAGAGAGGAGAGAGGAGAGGGGAGCAAGAGAGAGAGCTATCTGCCATCCGCTGGTTCACTCCCCAGATGGCTGTAATGGCTGGAGCTGAGCTGATCCGAAGGCAGGAGCCAGGAGCTTCTTCCGGGTCTCCCACGTGGGTGCAGGGCCCCAAGCACTGGGCCATATTCTACTGCTTTCCCAGGCCACAGCAGAGAGCGGGATTGGAAGTGGAGTAGCCAGGACTTGAACTGGGACCCACATGGGATGCCAGCACTGCAGGTGGCGGCCTTACCCTCTACGCCACAGAGCAGGCCCTCCCAAAATTTTTAAAATAGTAATGGTACCATTGGAGGCTTTAGTTTATCTGGGTGTGCTCTCCCACTAGACTAAGAAATCCCAAAAAACAGTGACCAGGCCTGCTTCTCTAACCTGTCCAAACCAGACCTCACATCTGCTACCCTAAGTCTGTTCTGCCATGGGTCCCCAAATCAGTGACAGCTGGCTGAACACAGTCCCAGCAGTCTGTGCAGGCTGCTCCCCCCACCCCACCTGGAACTCCAGCTCTGAACCCCACCTCTCCGGAGAGCACCCCTGCCTTGCCCTCTAGTGGCCTCCCCTGCACCCCAGAAGCCCAGTCAGGAGCCAGTCCTGGATTCCTGCAGCACCTGCCCTTCCCCACGGCAGGCCCGGCCGCTCAGCTGGGGCCACCCCACCTCAGCACTGTCCCCCTGGTGTCCCTGTCTGCAGATGAACCCGCCTCCCCCGGGAGTGGGTGCTCGGTGTCACCTCTGTGTCACCCGGCACAGGGCTGGCCTGCACGGGCGCTCTCAGCACTGCTCCACTGGCGCTGTTGGCCGTGTCGATTATACACTAAGAGGCTGGGAGCGATACCGTGGGAGAGAGGATATTCCCATGTGTCCAACCTGAGGACACACCTGTCCCCTGGAGGCCTTTTCCATTCAGTGTGACCTTGAGGGAAGTCAACTTCTGAAACACAGAGGGAACTGTGTGCTTTTCTAAGATGAGAGATGGAGCTGGGCCAGGCCGGGCTTGAATCTGAACAGGCACAGGCAGGTCTCAGACGCTCACATGCACACAACAGGGCACACACACACACACACACACACAACACCCACGGGCTCATGTGAACACACAGATGGGAGGGTGCAGCTACTCCTCAGGCTGGACACGGAGACGTATGCCAGAGACAGGTCCCCGACAGGCAAATCCCAAAGCACGTGTGTCCTCATGCTACCCACTTGGACAGACAGACAGCTGCAGAGACTGGCAGGAATTCAGGGACACCACCATGGACATGTGCACTCCGATGGGCACCGGTGGACACAAACAGGCCTGGAGACCACTTATGTTCAAGCACACACCCCGGGAAGACTAGTGCATAAGCAAATTCACCTGCCAACGTGGACACACCGAAACATACACATGGACACGCCATGCACGCACCTGGGAGAGCCCACACAGACAGATGCACAGATAAGGAGGAATGCGGCAGGGGCACCTGGGAGAAGACAGCACACACACAAGCTCCAGGAGCACGCGGGAGCTGGAGCAGCAGGGCTGACTCGCCACGGTGGACAGAGGCGAGGAGGAAGTCCCATGTCCCAGGCTCCTTCAGAGTAGCCTGAGGGCCCAGCACTGACGGACCCTCCTAGGTGGTGCCTGATCCAGCGTCAACCTCCAAGCCCAGACGATCACTGCTCAGCGCCTGCCTAGAGCTCTGGAGGGCTTGGCGGTGCCGAGGGAGGTGTGGGGAGAGACGTTCCTGCAAGCCCCTCTCCCTTCCCCCTCGCCTGGAGGGCGGAGAATGCAAAAGCCAGAAGGGCGCTCTGGGAAGCGCCCACCTCATCCCCTTTCTCCTCCAGGCCGCCAGTGTCTAACAAACTGCACAGCACTCACACCCATCCGCCCACGCGCTCCTCTCCGAAGCCCCTGGAACACTCTGTCATTAGGATGGGAAGTGGCTTACTCAGAGTCGCAACAGGGAACCTTGCTCTTACCCATTCATCCAGAAGGGGAAACTGAGGCCCCAGGAGGGGAAAGGATTTCCTGGGTCCCCCATACCAGCAGCCGGTCCCTCAGTCACCTGCAGACCGGCACCTGTCCCTCCCATGTGACTGCAGGCACTGAGCTCATCAACAAGGCCAAACCCTCTTGACCTCACTGTCCCCAAGTTCTCCCGTCCAGACCTCCGCCCCCTCCCTGGCCGGCTCCCAGCAGCCTATTTGAACACTCGGTTCCCTTCCTGGTGCCAACTTCATTAAGAAACAGACTCCCCAGGGTCCCCCCCTCCCTGCTTTCTGAGGCTCCAGGGGAAAAAGGAGGCACCCAGGCTGGGAGCCAGCACAGGTGCAGGCTGCTGACCAGGATTAGGGGACTGATACCTGCGCGCGCTAATCCGCCTTCCCCACCTCTTCTCCCTCCAGAATCAACAGCTTTCCTCTTCCTGCTTTGTGCCCTGCCCCCTGTGCCCTCCCCACAGATCTCAGAACACATTGAACAGGATGCCAGGCTGGGGAGTGCCAACCTCACCCAACACCACTCGTCCAAAGTTAGGGGCCTTGGGGCAGGATGCAACCTGAGGAGCCTGACCCCAGCATCTGCCCTGGGCCCACCAGGGGCCCCTCTTGGGGTGGAGCTACAACATGGTACCGCGTCCTGACGCCCTCCCGACCGGCACCCCCTGCCCCGAGCCCACACCCAGAGCCCCCTTGGCACCAGGGTCTTTGCCTCTACCAATAGTCTCCTGGCATCAAGTCCAGTGCCAATGTGCCAACGCCAGTCCCCTCCCTGGGGAGACCCAATGGCCAGCGTTAACGCTGTGTCCCCTGCTGCTGCTGAGCTTGGTCCTCACATGACCCCCACGGTGGACTGGGCAGTCCGTGAAGGGAGAAGGGGCAAGACAGCGCCCCTCACCCAGCTCCTTGCCACCTGTGGCACCCCATGGGGATGGCGCCGATCCAGCCCTGTTGTTACAAAGATTCTGTAAGACCCTGCCCACGTGGACCCTGTCCTCCCGCAGCACAGCAAGCTCTGGCCATGTCCTCATCAAGGGGGAACTGTGAGGAGAGGAGGCCAGCAGGGCCACTCATCCCTCTCCACTCCCACCCTCGTGGCCCAGGTCCACGCTGCTCCCAGCACTGGGGTCACCCAGACCTCTGCCTGCCCACAGCAGCCTCTCAAAAACCCAGAGGTCATCCCTGGACGAGATGTGGCCGTCGCTTCCCCTAAACTCCCTTCCCACAGGTCGGGAAAGCAGAGCCCAGAATGGGGACACTGGGGGCGCAGGGTGGGAGCGCCCGGAGTGCAAGGCCTTTGGCTTAAGGGGCACTCACGGCACCCCCTGCCCTCTCTCTCTTTCCTGTCCTCAGGAAAAGCCAGAAAGCAGGAGACACTGGTAATAAAAAAGTGACAACAGCAATGACACCATGAGCCCAGCCCTGAGTGGGAAACCAGCTAATTATGACCCTCAGGACGGCTGGGACTTTTCCGCCATGTGAGTGGTTGTTTTTGCTGTTTGCTGATGTGTGGGCCGGCACCTCTGCCAGCTATGGCCATGAGTCAGTCTTCTCCAGTTCTGGGACAAGTTCCACCAAAATGTGGCTCAGCTCAGCCACCCTTTCCCAGCCAGAGATGGGTGGTGGGGATTCTATGGCGTGCGCCCTGGCCTCACTGCGAGGCTCTGAGGAGGATTCTGGGCATCAGTAGAGAACAGATCAAAAGGCAGCTCCAAGGGCTGGTGCTGTGGCACAGCAGGTTAAAGCCCCGGCCTGCAGCACTGGCATCTCATTTGGGCACTGGTTCAAGTCCCGGCTGCTCCACTTCCGATCCAGCTCTCTGCTATGGCCTGGGAAAGCAGTAGAAGGTGGCCCAAGTCCTTGGGCCCCTGCACCCAGGTGGGAGGCCCGGAAGAACCCCTTGGCTTCGGATTGGTGCAGCTCCAGCCAGTGTGGTCATTTGGGGAGTGGACTAGCGGATGGAAGACCCCCCCCCTCTGTTTCTGCCTCACTCTGTAACTCTTTCAAATAAATAAAATAAATCATAAAAAAAAAAAAAGTAGCTTCACTCTAGAGCTCTCTCCCCTCTCCTCCCGGGGACTCCACAGTGCTGGGCCCTTCCTTGCCCCCAGAGCTCCAAATCCACACCTCTGGACCCGCCCCTCCCAAGACCCCTAAACCTATGTCCCTTCTCACCGAAAGCCATGCATCCTGTCTCATCCCAAAACCATCCGGACCTTCTAATTCTCCCCACAACTACGGGGTTCCCTTCTGACACTCTAAAGACCAACAGACCCGAAGCTCGGGTACTCCCCTGTGTCCAAAATCTTCAGTTCTGGTGCCGGCTCCCTGCTAATGCACCTGGGAAGGCAGCAGGAGATGGCCCAAGTGCTTGGGCCCCTGCCACCCACATGGGAGACCCAGATGGAGTTCTGGGTGCCTGGCTTCAACATGGCCCAGTCCTGGCCATTGTAGCCATTTGGGAAATGAACTAGTAGATGGAAAATCTCATTTTCTCCCTCTTTCTCTCTCGTTGCCTTTCAAGCAAAATAAATAAATCTAAAAAACATCTTCAGGCTGGAACGTGTCTGCTACACCCTCCCCCAGATCCACAGCCCTGGTCTCCTTGCAGGTGCCACCAAGTCAGTCTGGCAGCCTCTCTCTGTTCATCTGCCCGGGTACCCCATGTCCCCACCCCCCTTGCTGGCTCTACCCCAAGCAAGGCGGGGTGCAGGGCAAGGGGTGTAGTTGGGAGGTCAAATGAAACCATTGTATAACCAGGATCAAAGTCCACCCTTCTGTCCCCAAGCAGTATAAAGGGAAGCCATCCCGGCCACCACCATCTGTCACTCTCACCGCCACCATGCTGGCCTCAGGGCTGCTTCTGGCAGCTTTGCTGGCATGCCTGACCGTGATGATCTTGCTGTCCGTCTGGCGGCAGAGGAAGCTCTGGGGGAAGCTGCCCCCTGGGCCCACCCCCTTGCCCTTCATCGGGAACTATCTACAGCTGAACACAGAGCAGATGTACGACTCCCTCATGAAGGTACCACGGGCAGGAGCCAGGTGCGGGCAGCCAGGGAGGCTGGGAACGGACCAGGGTCTTAGGAAAAAAGGCTCCGTCTGAGGGTCCCCGCCAGGAAAGGCCAGATTTTGGGGTGTCAGCCCCTCGGGTACGTGGAGATGGCTCCCCCTAACCTTGCCCCCCACCCCGCCTCCATCAGATCAGCGAGCGCTACGGCCCGGTGTTCACCATCCACCTGGGCCCGCGGCGCATCGTGGTGCTGTGCGGACAGGAGGCAGTAAAGGAGGCGCTGGTGGACCAGGCTGAGGATTTCAGCGGGCGTGGCGAGCTGGCCACCTTCGACTGGCTCTTCAAAGGCTACGGTGAGGGGGACCCCAGGAAGGAAGCGGCCGGCGTGGCTGGGTGGCCCCAGCTTCCCCAGGCTTCTCCGGGGACTCTCCTGCCCAGCAGAGGCTGCGGCTGAGCCCTGGTCCCATCGCCTGCCCCCTCTCCCCGGGCCTGACTCTCACCTGTCTGCGTCTCCGTCTCCATCCTGATTTCTCCCGGCCTCTCTCACCAGGATCTGGGCTTCCCCAGCTGCGGGCTCTCCCTCTCCCTGCCTCCCTCTTCTTCCTCAGTCTTACCTCCCCGCACCGCCAGGGGGCTTCCCTAAGTTTCTGGGGAACAGAACTGAAAGATGTTTGTTTTGGCCCAAAAGACCGTTTGGAACTCCACGCACGGTGTTCCCGCCGCAGGGTCTGCTTCAAAACCCTCACGTGAGGCGGAACTGTGGGGGCAGCAGCTAAGCCGCCCCCGGGAGCCTGCATCCCACACCACAGCGCCTGGGCTCAGTCCCACCTCTGCTCCCTGCTAAGCACAGCCGGCCCCGCCACCCTCCTGGGAGACCTCACGGAGCTCTTGGCTCCCTGCTTCCGCCTGGCACAGAGTGAAGCAGCCGGTGTCTGTTTCTCTCTCTCTCCCTCTCTCTCCCCCCTCTCCTCCGCCTCTCGGGCGCCCCTCGGCCCGCCCCGCCGCCCTCTGACCCTTGCGCCCCCGCGCTCACCTCCCCAGGCGTGGTGTTCTCCAGCTGGGAGCGCGCCAGGCCGCTGCGGCGCTTCGCCATCTCCACGCTGCGGGACTTCGGCGTGGGCAAGCGCGGCATCGAGGAGCGCATCCAGGAGGAGGCGGGCTTCCTCATAGAGGCCTTCCGGGACACGCGCGGTGAGCTGGCGTCCGGGGGTGGGGGGTGGGGGGTGGGTGCACGCGCCCTGCCCTAGGGGCTGCTCTGGGGATGGCGTGGGGATGGGCTGCGGTCCCCGACTTGACGCCGGACCCACCCCTCCCCGACCTCCATCCCACCCCCCACCCCACGCAGGCGCCTTCATCGACCCCACCTTCTTCCTGAGCCGCACGGTCTCCAACGTCATCAGCTCCATTGTCTTCGGGGACCGCTTTGACTACGAGGACAAGGAGTTCCTGTCGCTGCTGCGGATGATGTTGGGAAGTTTCCAGTTCACAGCCACGCCCACGGGGCAGGTGACCCAGTGTGGCCTGGCCCTCCCACGCCTCTCCCGCCACCTGCTAGCTGCCCACCCAGGAGGCACTGTGGCTCCAAACTCCTATCCACTTCCAAACATGGCCCCCCAGGCAGAGCCAGCCCCCACTCTTGGAACACTGGACAGTTGCTCCCAAACCTGGGACAGGTGTCCCAATTCAGTCTCCAGGGACATCGGGGTATCTCAGCAGATGCCCCCCAAAACAGAGGCTGCAGGCAAGATACATGTCTTCAACTCCGCCTTCAACTTGAGGTGGTGCTCACCTGTAACATCTAACAGAGGCTTCCTACTGCCCCATCTGAGTAGCTTCACCCCCACCAGCAGCTGCTTCAACCCACTTCCTGAACCCCTGGCACTGCAAAACCCAGCCCCTCAAAATAATCTGACATCTATATGGGTGTCCAAGACCAGCCCCCTGGGATATCTGGACAAGTGTCCCCTGCTCCATCCACATAGGTACCTGCATGCCTGGACAGACTCCTCAACACATGAATATTTGGGGGGCACATGGCTCCCCAGACACCCAAATATGTGTCCTCCAACCAAGCCCTCCCCAGTGCCTAAACAGCTAAACAGGTGACCCTGTCCGACGGCAGCCTCACCTGGATAACTAAACTCCCACCCAACCTCAACTTGAATATCTGAACACCCAGATGTGTGTCCCCACCCATCTCATCTAAGTTCTTGGACAGTGGCGCCCACATGCAACCCACGCAAAAGCTCGATAACCTGTGTTCCCACACCCCACCCCCTAGCACCTAAACAATGGACAGGTGCCTTGAGCCGGCTGCCTGCCTTGCCCCCGTGAGGTGCCGCCCACTGAGGCCGCCCCTCCCTGCCCCGTCTCTGCCTGCCCTCAGCTCTATGAGATGTTCTACTCAGTGATGAAGCACCTGCCAGGGCCGCAGCAACAGGCGTTCAAGGAGCTGGAGGGGCTGAGAGACTTCATAGCCAAGAAGGTGGAGCGGAACCAGCGCACGCTGGACCCCAACTCCCCGCGGGACTTCATCGACTCTTTCCTCATCCGCATGCAGGAGGTGCAGCAGGGGCAGGGGGGTACAGGGGGAGAACATTCAAATGAGCCCCCATCATAGTCAACCCTGTAATCCCAGCTCACCGTCCGGGGACAGGACCTGTGCGTGCAAATCCTCCTGTGCCACAGCCGCTTCCGCGGGCTTCGGCGTGCATTGTGGTTTTCCCCTAGGAAAACTCACTGAGGCTCTTGGACAAGGTTCTGTTATGTCCCCAGTTTTACAAATAAGGAAACTGAGGGCCCGAGGGTGTGAGTGGCTTGCGTGGGGTCCTCCAGCGAGGGAGCAGTGGCTCTGGCTCAGATCCTGGCCCCTCGGACCCTGGGCTGGTGCTTTTAGCCACCTGGCTCTCTGGCCTTTCCTATCCTGCTTATCGGAGATGCCTGCATGGCCAGCACAGGGCGTCTGGCTTTCCTGGGTGACACTGGAGGGTCCCCACCCTGTCTGGAGGTCAGTCCTCCTGTGTGAGGATAGGAGAAGGGGCTTTATGGCTTCTGAGATTCGCAGGCTCTAGGGAGGAAGCCTCTTCAGGACATCTAGGGATCAGAGTCACCATGGTGCTGCCTCTGTGCACCTGCAGCCCAAAAGATCTCTCTCCGCCTCACCACACCTGCCACCTCTGTCCTCTTTTCTCGCTCTCTCGATCCCTCTCTAAATATCCCTACCATTTAAAGAGTGACAACTAGGCTGACTCCCCCCTCCAAGGATGGTCAGCCAGACAAAGAGGACAGCAGAAGAACCTCAGGTGGAGCCAGCAGCTGGGGCACAGAGCTGAAAGCCTGACAGGTCCCCGGGCCCTCTGCCCACCGTAGCTGTGGGCCTAGGAGAGATGGGTTGGAAGGTGGCAACCCAGAAGGGTGCCCGGGCCTGGGGAGCGGGCTCAGCTGGAAGCCCTGCTCTTCTTGCAGGAGAAGAAGGACCCCAAGTCGGAGTTCCACATGAAGAACCTGGTGATGACCACGCTCAACCTCTTCTTTGCGGGCACAGAGACCGTCAGCACCACCATGCGCTATGGCTTCCTGCTGCTCATGAAACACCCGGATGTGGAGGGTGAGGCGGGGCAGGCGGGCAGCAACATGGGGGCCCTGGGCCCTAAAGCTCCTCTGAGCCTGCCACAGGGTCCCCACATCCCCTGCACCCCGCCCTCAGACACACCCTGCTGTCCGGCGACAGGGCAATCTTTAGCTCACAGGCACCAGGCTCTCACCAGCTGGTAAAATGCCGGGCACGTGTGAGACACCAGCAAGTCACTCCTGGGCTGAGCCCACTGAGTGTCCACTGCCCACTCCTTCCCGTGACACCCCCGAGGACCCCAGCCTGGCCAGGGTAACCAGACCCTGCTCTGGGCCATACACAGACCCCTGCTGCGCTGGTACTGGGACGATCATCCCTGCACTGAGCCCTATGAGTTCCTAAACCCCGCGCCTCTGCTCCCCCAGCCAAGGTCCACGAGGAGATCGACCGAGTGATTGGCAGGAACCGGCAGCCCAAGTTCGAGGACCGGGCAAAGATGCCCTACACAGAGGCGGTGATCCACGAGATCCAGAGATTCACAGACATGATCCCCATGGGCCTGGCCCACAGGGTCACCAGGGACACCAAGTTCCGGGACTTCCTCCTCCCCAAGGTGCTGCCCCGCCCAGCCCAGAAGGACCTGCAGCCTGCCCCCCACCACCCCTCGTACCAGCCCCTGTCCCATCCTGCAAAGACTTCACCAAGCACAGGGATTCCTGGATTCCACATCCCCCCAGGCCCGTTTCCCTAGAACCTCCTGCCTTAGGACATGAACCCCGCACCCCCTAAATGCCCCCTCTCAGGGACAGGAGCTTTCTGTCTGCCAAAGCTCCTCTCTGACGCCCTGACCCCCATGCCAGCCCCTGACTCACCTGCCCTCCCCCCGCCAGGGCACCGAAGTGTTCCCCATGCTGGGCTCTGTGCTGAAAGACCCCAAGTTCTTCTCCAAGCCCCGGGAATTCTACCCCCAGCACTTCCTGGATGAGAAGGGGCAGTTTAAGAAGAGCGACGCTTTCATGCCCTTTTCCGTCGGTAAGAGACCACGCAGGGCGGCCAGGCTTCTCCCAGGGGATGAGGGGGCTTCAAACAGTTCCCAGAAAACAGGATTGGAAGATGTGTTTATTTGGGCACTCAAAAAGCAAACAAAAAAACTGAAATCCAGGCGTAGGAGGGGTCTTCCAAGGGTAACAGGAAAACGCACACGAGGAGCAAAGTTTATACATGGATTTCAAATATTGCAGCAAACAGGCATCTTTCAGCCCCGTGTTCCCCGAACTTGTAGGTGAGGGGAAGCGGCGTCCGCACTTCCCACGCGGGGAAAGTGAGGCTCCGAGCGCAGGTCTCCCCGACCCCGCGCGCGGGACGGGGCGCGGGTCGGCCACGGGCTCGGCCCTCACCGCCCCCCCTCTCCGCTCCAGGAAAGCGCTACTGTCTCGGAGAAGGCCTGGCCAGAATGGAGCTCTTCCTCTTCTTCACCACCATCATGCAGAACTTCCGCTTCCGCTCTCAGCAGGCGCCCCAGGATATCGACGTGTCCCCCAAGCACGTGGGCTTCGCCACGATCCCGCGAACCTACACCATGAGCTTCGTGCCGCGCTAGGCAGGGGCGGGGCTAGCAGGAGGGCGGGGCTGCGAGAAGGGGCGGGGCTGCGGGAGGGGCGGGGCGAGGGCCAGGGCCTGGGGGTCGGCCTTGCTGGAGATGCGCGCACCGCATTCTAATAACAGCACACCACATTCTAATAACAGCTATTATTTATTGAGCAAGTCCTACGTGTCAGCGCCGTGCTGAGAGCAGTACTCTCTCCCCTCACCGTAGGGGGTGGGAGTGGGCGGGGGGATGGAACCCACGCCCATTTCACAGGTGACAAAGCTGAGCCCGGAGCCCGAGTGCCCAGCCGAGCGCCTGAATACACCTCTCTGCCCGCACTGGGCTCGTTCCGAAAAGCAAGGCAGCTTAGAGCATCCGCACATAACCTGAAGGGCCCTGGCTGGGGTGCATGGGGTCCCAGCTGGCCAGGCTTCACCACACCTGTGCCCACTGCTGCACACACCCGGAGCAGGGCGGCCCAGGCCGAGCCCCCACCACGTAGGGCGGCTGGTCCAATCCAGAGTCTGCCTGGGGACAGGAAGCCAGCCTCTTGGTGAAGAGGGTGAGGGAGAAACACTTTCAGAGAATGCCTGCACACTCTGGATGGGCCATGAGTGTGAGAGAGAGAGCGTGTGCACACACACATGCAAGGATAGGACTGTGTGTTGCCCAGAGTGTACGCATGAACGCTCCATTGTAGGTTCCTTATTCCTTGCTCGAGAAGCAGAGACAGAGAGAGACGTAGACAGAGGTGCCATCCACCCCACATGCCCACATGGTCAGGGCTGGGCCAGATGAAAGCCAGGGCCTGGAGCCCAGTCCAGGTGCCCTGTTTGGGGAGCAGGGGCCCAATCAATCCCTGTGCCATCACCTGCTGCTGTAATCGGTAGCAGAGCCAAGACTCAAACCCAGGATATGGGCGTCCCAACCTGCAGCTTAACCACCAGGCCAAACGCCCACCCTGTCGTGGACTCACTCTGCTGATCTGAGTTTCAGGATCACCTGCCGACTCTCAAATTAGTCAGGGTGCGTCCCCTTACAAGTGGCATTAAGCAGTGCACAACCTGAACACCTGTATCCATCAGCCTTGGACCTCCATGTTTCTTTTTTTTTTTTTTTTTTTAAGATTTATTGATTGATTTGAAAGGCAGAATTACAGAGAGGCAGAGACAGAGAGAGAGAGAGAGAGAGAGATCTTCCATCCACTGGTTCACTTGCCAATTGGCCGCAATGGCCAGAGCTGCACCAATCTGAAGCCAGGAGCCAGGAGCTTCTTCCAGGTCTCCCATGTGGGTGCAGGAGCCAAGGACTTGGGCCATCTTTTACTGCTTTCCCAGGCCATAGCAGAGAGCTGGATCGCAAGTGAAGCAGGTGGGACTTGAACCAGCACCCAGATGGGATGCCGGCACTGCAGGCAGTGGTTTTACCTATTACATCACAGCGCAGGCCCCCTCTATGTTTCTTAAACTAAATGCTACACACACACACACACACACACACACACAGAGTCCTTGGGGACTGGCATTTGAGTCGAGCGACGGGAACGCTCCTCTCACCCCAACGTCTGCTTTGTGACTTGGATTTCACGCAGAGGCTGCTTCCAGCTCCCTGGGTGAGGATGAGGGTGAGAGCACGGGCCGCCCTGGCCGAGTCCAGGGTCAGAGTTGAAGCACGTCCATCCACGTGCGTGTCTCCTTAAGAGCCTTCCAGAAATCTCAACTCAGGGAATCTTAGAACTGTGGAGAAACAAAGCTGTCAGCTCTTGGACACGATTCTGAGCACACCGTTCAAAAGCGTGGGGCTTGGGATCTCCGATTTCCAGAACCTTAGATTCAGTGTGTTTGGGTCCCCAGTTCTTGGGACTCCCAGTGCTCAGGGCTTTCCCACGGCTCCCTGCACGCACCTTTGGGAACGGCATTCCGAGGTTAGTCCTGCAAGCGGAATATTCCTTCTGAGAAAGAGGAGAGTAGGGGCTGAAGCTGGCAGGGTTCTCCAGGAGACGCCTCCAGGACAGACAGACTGGCAGGCAGGGCTCTGCCCTGCAAGGGAGGAGAGATGAAGGGAGAGAGGACGAGGATCAATCCCCCAGTCCCCAGACTCACGCCTGCAGTCCACCAGGGCATAATCAGAGGTCCTGAGAGGAGCCGCACTCCCAGCCTCCCCGTCCAATGAGGACGCCGCCGGCTTGGAGCTCTGCGGGGCCGGCTCCCCGCACACGCGCCAGGGCAGAGATGGGAGCAGGAGCCCTGCCCTCGGGCCAGGCTTTGCTGCTTACTCCTCAGCTCACGGAGCCCAGGGCTGGAGAGTTCTAGAAGTTCAGAGACTTCGAGGGTGGGAGGGGCAGAGTGGTGGTGTTTCTGGGTAGCTGGCTCCTCACCACCCCCTTCTGCCAAGGTCAGAATCTACAGAGTCAAAACATACATGTGCACGCACACATGTGCACATGCACACACATGTTCTTGCTGTGCATCAACAGCAGGAAGCATGTTGCTAAGCGTCTGTCACGTGCCAGACACCACGTTAAGCCCTTGTACTAGGGCTGCTGCCATGACTATGAGTGACTTCAACAGCAGAAATGCACTGTGTCACAGTTCTTTTTTTTTTTTTTAATTTATTTGACAGGTAGAATTATAGACAGTGAGAGAGAGACAGAGGGAAAGGTCTTCCATCCGCTGGTTCACTCCCCAGATGGCCGCTATGGCCAGCACTGCTCCGATCTGAAGCCAGGAGCCAGGAGCTTCTTCCTGGTCTCCCACATGGGTGCAGGAGCCCAAGCACTTGGGCCATCCTCCACTGCCCTCCTGAGCCACAGCAGAGAGCTGGCCTGGAAGAGGAGCAACCGGAACTAGAACCCGGCACCCATATGGGATGCCGGCACCGCAGGCGGAGGATTAACCAAGTGAGCCACGGAGCCAGCCCCACTCATAGTTCTTTCTTAAGGATTTATTTATGCTTTTAAAAAGCAGAGTTGGGCTGGTGCTGTGGTGTAGTGGTGGATAAAGCCGCCACCTGCCGTGCTGGCATCCCATATGGGTGCCAGTTCGAGACCCGGCTGCTCCACTTCCGATCCAGCTCTCTGCTATAGCCTGGGAAAGAGTAGGAGATGGCCTGAGTCCTTGGGCCCCTGAACCCGTGTGGGAGACCCAGAATAAGCTCCTGGCTCCTGGCTTCGGATAGACACAGCTCCGGCCGTTGCAGCCAATTGGTGAGTGAAGACCGATCGACCTTGCTTTCTCTCTTTCTCTCTCTCTCTCTGTAACTCTGACTTTCAAATAAAATAAAATAAATCGATCTTTTAAAAAAAAGATGGCCAGCCCCGTGGCTCACTAGGCTAATCCTCCACCTGTGACGCCAGCACCCCGGGTTCCAGTCCCGGTCGGGGCACTGGATTCTGTTCTCTGCTCTCTGCTGTGGCCCGGGAGTGCAGTGGAGGATGGCCCAAGTGCTTGGGGCCTGCACCCACATGGGAAACCAGGAGAAGCACCTGGCTCCTGGCTTCAGATCAGCGCAGTGCGCCGGCCGCAGCAGCCATTGGGAGGTGAACCAACGGAAAAAGGAAGACATTTCTCTCTCTCTCTCTCTCTCTCTGTGTCAACTCTGCCTGTCAGAAAGGAAGGAAGGAAGGAAGGAAGGAAGGAAGGAAGGAAGGAAGGAAGGAAGGAAAGAAAGAAGAGAAGAGAAGAGAAGAGAAGAGAAGAGAAGAGAAGAGAAGAGAAGAGAAGAGAAGAGAAGAGAAGAGAAGAGAAGAGAAGAGGGAAAAGCAGAGTTACAGATAGAGAGGGAGAGACATAGAGAGAGAGATCTTCCATCCACCGGTTCACTCCCCAGGTGGCCACACTGGCAGAGCTGGACCAGACCAAAGCCAGGAGCCCAGAACTCCATCTGAGTCTCCCACGTGGGTGCAGGGGCCCAAGTATTTGGACCGTCTTCTGCTACCTGCCCAGGAGCATTGCCTGGGAGCTGGATTGGAAGCAGAGCAGCTGAGACTCAAACCGGTGCTCACATGGGATGCTGAGGTCACAGGCGAAGGCTTAAGCTCTGTGCCACAGCACCAGCCCCTGTCTCACAGCTGTAAGCCAGGAAATGCAAAATCACACAGTTGGCAGGACCAAGGCCTCTGGCATCTGCAGGGGAATCCGCTCGCCTCCTCCTGGGCTCTGGCCACGCTGGTGGCAGCGGTGCCCCTGGCGGCCTCCCCCCACCGCAGCCACCTCTCCTGAGCTTCAACCTGCACTGAACCTATTTCCAAGAAAGGTTGCATCCTGATGACGGGGGGAGAGGGGTTCAGTAGATACTGCGGGTGGGGAAGGCCATGCACTGTTCAGCCCATAATACCCCTAGTGCCTGGCTTCACTCAGCCCCTTAAATCACCCTGGAAAGTGAGCTTACGGCAGCTGATGTTAACAATGAATGTGCACACACACACACATGGGCACACACACATGTACACAAACACACATGCACACACGCTCAGAGAAAGGCCAAGCAGCGTTCCCAGGGTCCCACACCAGGGCAGATCTGACTGCAGGACCCTAGGGTTCTGTGGAGCCCCTGCCTCCAGAGGAACTCCGAGGGAAGGGGAAATTTTAAGGAGACGTTTTTCTGGGCTGGGGTATAAGGACGGGAATCTAGACGCCACACCCCTGAATGAGGGAGATGTGCTGTCCGCAGCTGCCCCAGGGCGTGTGCAAGCACATGGCCGCCATGTATCCCGCATCGGCGCTGCTGACCCTAGCCAAGGAGCTCTGATATGGTTTATCCTCTTCTCTTTTACTTAATTTTCTAAATGCTGATTGCTTTTTTTAAAAAAATATATTTATTTATTTGAAAGGCAAAGGTAGAGAGAGAAAGAGAGGGAGAGACAGAGGTCTTCCATCTGCTGGTTCACTCCCCAAATGGCCACAGGAGCTGGATCTGAAGTGGAGCAGCCAGGACTGGAACCGGTGCCCATATGGGATGCCGGCATTGCAGACAGCGGCTGAACCCACTGCACCACGGCGCTGGCCCCGCTGATTGCTTTTCTGAGTTGTTCATGGACCATCCCCTGAAGCTGAGCGGGCAGGGGACTTGGGGGTGAACTCTCAACTCACTGCACCTGTTCCAGAAACCCTCCCCCCCCAGCTTCTGCCCCACTCCTGAGTCCACTCCTCAC